GTTGGAGAAATTATGAAATGTAAAACAGCAGTGAAAAAACAACTTGCTCACCTAGCCTAAAAAACCCCCTCTAGATTCTGTGATGGATGATAAAAGAACTTTGAGGAACTCACTGTTCACAAGTTTTGATAATCAGTAATTTAGCCACTATCTCTGCTATTTCATTCTGACCTATTACCAGAGGATCTTGCACATGGACTTCTGTGCTTTCAGAATAGGTGGAGCATCTACTGAGAGATAAGTAGAGCATCTCTTCTGAACTTTGAAAATGTACAAGGCAGTCTTCAGCTACTGCAGCAAAAAAATGCCTCATGAAGAACAAGTACTTTATGTAGGTAATGCTACCTACCAGTCAGTTTAGAAATGTTGTTTGACATTTTTTTAACCTAGTCAGTATATCAATTTCAAGCCTGGAGCCTGAATCAACTTAGTTCTAAGTAGCATTCTATGTTCTATGTTGTGTTTCTATGTGCCTGACGTAAAAAGAAACCCTGACTTTTACAGAATTAAATCTTGGGACTACTCCCACATGATACTTCATGAAACTGGCTAACAGAATAGATGGATTCCACTGTAGTTTATAATACAATCATTTTATTATATGTTATAATTTATTCTTTGCAAATATCTATGTAAATCATTAAATGATTCAGCTAATTTCTGAAAATCTGTATTTAAGTGGTTGTTTTTCATACTATGCTTTGACACCTGCTTGTTCGTTTGTTCACATTCCCTGGGTGATCTGTCTCTTAATTTGTATGTTTTCAAGGTCTGGGATTGTCTCAATTTTGCATTCATATAATAGGACAGTTGTGATCCAGTTGTACTTGACACTGTTTATTGCCACCACCATCCAAATAATAAATAATAACTGTCTGAGGCACTTAGCAGCTTTCTTTTTCTTTTGAGACGCTAATATTAAAATAATTGACTCTGTTCCCAGAACTGCATGTTCTCTTTTCATTAGTATTATAAAACAAAACACACAACCCTTCAAAATTCTAACTTTCCCTGAAAAGAAACACTGCTAGTTTTAACTCATTTTTGTCTGAGTTCCCTTTCCTCACGATGATCTGTCCTGAAAAGTAGAATTAACAGCAACAACAAAAAAGATCCACATTCCAATGTTTTTAGAACATTTTTACTATCCGTGCATATGTGCATACATGAATGCCCTTAGTTTTTCAAGATTAGCTAGGGCTTTGTATGACTGAGTTGCTGTGCCTAGGCAGCACAACAGTGTTACTCCACAGAATCACCTGTAGATTTACTAAAGGAGAATGGTATCAGAACAGTTCCTCCCAGGTAAGCATCACTAGCTGTAAAGTGCAGGAGGAGTGGCCACCGAACGGAGGAAGGGCATGTGTACAACTCTTGGTTACATCCAAACTTAACTAACTTAGAGACGAAAGTTACAACAGATGATAGTAATGGTAATGGCTTGGGTTTACTTTTGCATTTTTTTCAGTGCTTTTCAACTCATTTCCTTCTTTCATACACAGCAGTTGTCTCTGGTTGGGTCTCAGTGTTCAGGATCTACAGCCTCCCATATGATACAGTGGAGTGTCATCTCTGCGGATAAGATCATCCCTGTATTTTTCCACTTGCAGAAAAGTCTCCCTCATGCAGGATCAGGTTGAATTCATGCAAGTTGTGGCAGTTGTTTGTTGGGGGATTTTTTCCCGGTTTTGGAACAACAGTTAGGTAATTGCGTGGTTCCAATACAGTATCAAGGAAAAGTACACTGCAGGGGTGCTGTGAATTCTAAGTTTATAGTGATTGTTCAGGTAGATACACCTGCACATTCATATTTTTAATAATTAAAAAGAGTCATTAAAAAAGTCCGTAATTTAAAAACTTCCATCTTTTTACAGGCTGTGGTTCAGTGAAAAAAAAAAATAAAATATCAAAATGATCTCATAAAGCATTTTGAGAACTAAAGATGAAAACTGTAGTACAGGAGACACGGTATATTGCCTGCAAACTAGCCCAGAGAGGATTACATTAGCTGAGGTCACACAGTCTGATTAAGATAATGACCCGAAGGCAGACAGATGTTAGCTTCCTGATCTATAGCACACTCCTAAAAGTCAGCACTCAAAACTGTATCATTCCTCAGTCTCTCTCTTGGCACATTTAGCAGCCACTACATACCAGAACCTCTGCTCTTGGTGCCATAGCATAAGGTTGTGAATGTGACCAGATATATCTTGAAATGTGTCCCTGCTGTTGGCCACCATGTGACAACATAGTACTTACAAGATACATGCCTATAGTTACAGTTCAGATATAATGGGGGACTTACACTTACCCCCCATTAAGTTAAATTAGATAGGTTCCATCTCACTTGGAGAGATACATTAACACAGCTGGCCCCAGTGTCATGCATGACAAACAGCTGGCCCTGCAGAGAGCATGGTCAGGCTGCTTCCCACAGGGTTCGAGTCTTCACCCTAAAGTTCCATATAGGATCGTGCTCCTTTGCTCTCATCTTCATGGATTACAGCCTGTGTCAACAAGTTTCTGCAGCAAAATTGGCCTCAACACTCAGCATGGAGCCAAGCAAGGTGTCTTATGTGGGCAACTTGCTAAAGTCATGGATTGTGCAGCCTAGCTTAGGGCAGGGCAACTGTTAAAAGTGTCTTGCCTACCCCTAAAGGCTTGTGGAATTAGTATTGTGCATGCAGATACCAGTATGGAAAATCCTAACTGAAAACAATGGGAGTTAGAGGTGCAGGGTGGGGATAATACTCTTGTAATACTGTCTAGCTTTCCTGCAATGCTGTTCAGCTATAGATTTTTGAAGGCCAAATTTACTCCTTCTATAAAAACTCTTACTATTTGAGTGATTACTACGCAGATAAATTTGGTGCTAGATTGTGTTTTAGATGGTGATATGTTTATTCCCTTTTCTCCACATAGCTACAAGCAGTGGAATTAACAGGCAAGTAAAGTATATCGGATACAAAGCAGAGGAAACAAAAGTCAAGAGGAAAGGAGTGGCCTTATAATCAAAGCACAGGGTTAGGCATGAGGAAACTTCAATTATTAAGGCTTCCTGAATAAAGTCACTTCACCTTGCTGGGCCACAGGGGGATATTCTTAATCACTCTGTACAGCACCTTCCTGCACTTACCCTTCTAAGACTCACACATTTGACTGACTTTACCCCTCCTAAGAAGGGTGGGTTAACTCTTATCAACTGGATGAGTCTCTGTTTGGCCAAGGTCACAGTTTCTGTGGTGTAAACAAGCTGTGTTTCTATACTGAAATTAAATGATTGAATCTAGTCATTTAATTCAAGAACCCTTGTTCTTGCAGTCTTCTCCTGTGGAAGATGAGTATGAGAAAGAATACCCCTTAGAAATTGTGTGAAGGCCATACGACTCAGAGGGAAGGTTGTGTTGTGGAAGAAAGAGCTCTCTTCAGATTAAGTGGGTGTATTTTTCTGGCAGGGGAACATGCTTTGGCATGTGAGCAAGGTGCCTACCGTTCCAGGCAAATATGAGCCTGCAGTTTGCAACAGGCCACAGGAACTTTGGGTGGAAGTTACAGTAGAAATTTAAATCATTTTAAAGTAACTGCAATCTTGTTATCCTAAACAGAGGCAAATTCATGAACTTTAGGGCAAAAAAAAATAAATCTCCAATTCTTCATTTAAAATTCAAGATTTTCATTTCATTAGGGCCACACAGATGATTACAGGTCTGGAGCACCTCTCTTATGAGGAGAGACGGTGGGAGCTGTCTCCTAGTCTAGAGAAGAGAAGACTGAGAGGGGATCTCATTAACGCATATAAATATCTCAAAGGTGGGTGCCAGGAGGCTGGTGCCCAGCGACAGGACAAGGAGAAACAGCCATCAACTAAAATGCAAGAAGTGTGAGGAAGAACTTCTTTACACTGAGGATGGCAGAGCACTGGAACAGGTGGACAAGGGGGGTTGTGGAGCCTCCCTCGTTGGAGACATTCAAAACCGACCTGGATACATTCCTGTGTAACCTGCTCTAGGTAGCCCTGCCTTGCTACTGCTACTGGATACTACCTTGCTTCCTCGGACTGGATGATCGGCAGAGGTCTCTTTCAACCCTAACGATTATAAGTCATTTGAAAGTAACTGCAATCTTGTTATACTAAACACACGCAAATTCATGAACTTCAGCGGACAAAATAACCCTGTTCTTCATTTATCATGGCAAAGAACCGCGTGCAGCATGGAAAGCACATTTAGGATGTGGCAAACGGCGCTTTCAACATACCGAGCACAGAAGGTGACACCGTGACACACACTGTACCCACACGTGTGCCCCTGCCTGCGTCTCGGTCCCGGTAGGTCACCACCCTAGGAGTGGTGAGCACGCCGGGAGGCAACAGGTGACCAAGCCCTCCGAAGCACCCTGAAAGACGAGGCCAGGGTTAGGGAGCGGCAGCGGCTCCGCTTCCCGCTCCTCAGACACACTCTGTGGGAAGAGGCCTCCAACCAAAACCCCAGCAAAACAGACAGACACACAGACACACACACAGACACACAGACACAGACACACACACACACACACACAGACACACACACACACAGACACACACAGACACACACAGACACACACAGACACACACACACACACACACACACCCACACCCACACACACCCACACACCCACACACACACACACACCCACACACCCACACACCCACACCCACACACACACACACACACACACACACACACACACACACACCCACACCCACACCCACACACACACACACACACACACACACACCCCCCTAACGCCTCACCCCCCCCCGGGCACCGCCCCCTGGTGGCGCTCACACCACTCCCCATATCGCCCCGCGCATGCGTCGTCGGCCGCATCGACGGCGTGGGGGAAGGCGGTGGAGGAGGAGGAGAAGAGAGGGAGAGCGGGCGGACGAGCGAGCGGGCGCTGTTGCGCCTGCGCGGGTTGTTCCCGGGCAACCCGGGCCGGGGGAGGCGAGCGGAGCCGAGCCGAGCGGTGGGTGGCCTCCCGCGTGCGCGAGCCCGGTGGCGCGTCCGACGGGCGGTGCGTGCCGCTGCGGCGGGGCATGGTGAGCAAGGGGCCGGTGCTGCGCCTGTTGACCGCCATCAACCGCAGGAGGATGAAGCTGCTCATGGGGATCGCCTTCATCGCCTATGTCGCTTGTGAGTGAGCACCGGGGGCTGGGGACGGGTATGGCCCCGCCATTCATTGCCCATTGGCCCGGTACCCTCCGCTCCCCGTGTCCTCTGCCGCTCGCGGGGAAGAGGAGGAGGAGATTGTGGTGGATCCCCGTTGAGTTGCCCGGTTGCGAGGCGCCGCAGCGTGGCTGCTCTGACCCGGGCGGGGAAGGGGGCTCCCCGCGCCCCGGGCTGCCGGCTCCGTTCCTCCCGTCGCCTCCCCGCCCTGCTGAAACTTTCCCGAGTGTGGCGAGCAGGCGGCTAGGCCGTGGCGGAGGGCGCCCGGGGCAGCCGGGTCGGCCGGGCACCCTGCCAGGCATCTTTCCCCTGCCCCGGCCCGATGGCTTGTGAGGGGAAGACCTGCCTCCCCCTCCTGCCCCCTCAGCGGCCGTTGCGGGAAGCGGTGGCTTTCGCTCTGCGGGCGGCCTCCTCCGGCTTCCCCTCTGTGCCTCACGGGCAGGGGCGACCGGGGCCCGCCGGCGCCTTGCGGCAGGCAGCCGGCCTTTGGGCCGAGCCCCGGGCGGTGAGGCCGGGGGGAGCCGTGTGAGCGAGACGTGGCTCAAGGAGTCAGCGTTTCCGTAGCCGCTCCCCAGAGCACGCGTAGCCCGCGTTAATCGTAACCAGGTAGCTGCGTGAGGTGAGCCGGCGAGGAAGTTTTCCAGGGCAGGCCTCGTGTCTGGTTATTGCAAAGAAAAAAAGATATCCTTCGGTGTCCTTTGGAGGCTAAATAAATAGGGGTTTGTTTTGTTTATTATCTCAGCACGTAGCTGGAGTCTTAAAGAGGCTGAAGAGAGGCACAAAGGTGTTTGTGAAGAATAACCACTGACAGGGATGTTTATGGCTTCAATTATTAGGAATGAGTCAGATGGAGTCTAGGATTTATAATGCCATTCTGTCACCTCTCTTCCCTTTCTTGTCCAGGTTTTTCTGTTACATTTTTTCATATTTAGTTTACGTTAGCCTGGCTTATTTTTAGACTTGGATAGATTTTATGTAGATGACACATCATGAGGAAGGATCTTGGATGCTTTGTCAGCTTAGCTAGGGACAAGTGATTCTCTTGATGCTTCACAACACATATAGGTGAGCTAGCTTTGGTGATGGGTGCGTGCATTGGATTTAGGATCCTCCCTTTGCGTTTGGGAGGTACAGCTGAAGTAATCGGCAGAAGGGGTGGTGTTTCCTACCCCACAAACACAACATAGGAATTCCCTTTACTACCATATTTACTGCGTTTGCAGGACCTCATTACTAAGTACTGCTGTTATCACTGAAGTTGTGTGCCAGCTCTGACTCTTAGGACAGTTTGTCCAGGTGACTTCAGGTTCCATGTGTACTGAAGCAGGGACAGCTTAATGTATTTTCTTATTTTTAAAGATTTTGCTGTTTTGCCAAAAATAATACTTAATTTTGAAAATAAAGTTAATAGGCTGCTGTGGAAATACGGGAATTGAGTGGCAGTTGACATGGTCATTAGGACCTGGCTATTTATTACATTCTGTGTACGGTAGTTGGTGCTTGCTTTCTAGCTTTATGAGTAAAAGCCTTAAGAAAGAAAAAAAAAAGCACCATGTGATTTTTGTTGTTTGCGCTGTAAGTCATAGAAGTCTTCTCACTGCTTGTTCCTGGTTGTTCTTTGGGATTCAGGAAAGAAAAATGGAGGAGAGGGACTGCAGAGCAATGTGGCAAAAAGTAGCTTGAAAAGGGAAGAGGTTGGTGTCTGATGTGAGTAAGGTTTTTGCAAATCTAATGTGTCAGATTGAAAACCACAGCAATCTTTTGACTAGTGGGCAAAAGTAATGGAATCATTAGTTATGGCTCTGGCATCTTCAATAAAGTATGTTAGCAGATGCTGATGATATAATAGATTCTAGAGAGACTGGTTTTTGTTTTCTGTGGAAGAGATTATGATCCATCCCCCTATCCTAAAAGTGTACTCCTTGCAATATTACTGAATCATCCCTCTGCTCTGGTTGCAGTCAGATAATGCCAGACTAAAATAGCACAGCATCTGAGAAAACTGAGCTGCTGGTGTAGGTGTATGTGCTGGCACTTCTTACATTCCTTCTATCTCAAATACTCTCCAAGTGACTAAGTGTTTTTAGGCTGTGCACCTTCTTGCCATGAATTTCCATTCAGTGTTAGTGCAGGGGGAATTGGGTTTGGAGCACATTATGTTACGGGGAATGAAATAGTTGGCAAGTACATTACTTTTTTATGAACTGGAAGACAGGACTTTTTTGATAGTGCCATTTTGTCAGGTTATCTGTGAAACCCTGAGAGAATGTTTAGGGAACATCTTTTTAGAAAAAGTGTTTTATTTCATAAAAAGCTTCTGCCTTTGAATACAAATTTGTTACAAATGTGCCTAAAGAATCTCTCTGTGAGAGTCTGCAAACTAAAGGAAGAGCTTACAGTCAATTGAAAGGCACTCAGCTGTCTTGCTCTTAAGACTCATTGAGTGACTCTCTTGGTAGTTTCACAGTGCATGGTGTTAGATGGCCAGGCTGGTTTAGGTATCCCTGCTTCACATCCTCCATTTCCCACCAGCATCCGGCATGTACAAAGACTTAAATTTCTGTGATATGTAAAGGAACTGGTGTGGACTAAGGTTGTAATTTAGGTTATAACCATTTGACAGTGTGGGCATTCAGAAAGCTGTTTTGGTGCAACTGAGGAGGTGGTGCAGTGATGAAATGGTCAGCTGTGAGTGCTATTGGCAACATTGCTGTCATGTGCTTTGCAGGTCTACAGTGCTTGTCTCTCACCTAAGGAGTCTTGTTGACTTGGGTTAAAGTACCACCCTGACATGAGGTGCACAGTCAGGTTCGTGGTACTTAGAACTCTTTTTATGGATTTGCTGGTTTCTTTAGGGAATAAGAAGGATCCTTACTTTACATTTGGGTTTGAGATAAAGTAATATTTCTTATTTCTTTAAGTATTATTATTAATAATATTTACTTAATTATTAAGTAAAAAAAATTGTTCACTTGAAACTGTGTACTATGCATAGTTTGTGTATATAAAAATAGAACTCAAAATGAGCATTTCTATGCAGGAGGAAGTTAAAAGCAGTTGTAACTTTAGCAGTTGTTCGCTGGCAGAATTGAAGTGACAGAGTTTATCTGTAGGCCCTGAGTGAAAGGGGTGATTTTGTTCCCCATCACCCAGATCAGTGAGTCTAGAGATAATGCAGCTAGCAAGCTGTCTGAATTGCTCTGAATCTAGTGTGGTAGAATGCTACTTTATTTTATTCTCAGGATGAGCTTGGTTGATTCACTTGCATTGCTATATCCTTCTGTAGATGTTACAAGGCTATACTGTGCCACCTATACTGGGAAGCCCTGGCCAAAGGTTGAATTTTTGTTGCACTTTTTAAAGGGACAGAGTCTTCTGCCACAGTGTTTTTTCTGATTTAACCACCAGCAAGATACTGCAGGAGTGCTAGTGCTTTAAAAAGGAGGTGGGGGTTATGTGGAGGTGGATTGAAACAAATCCTTTCAGTCATGGGCTGCACTTGCATCATCTGGAAGCCGTTGTGAAACCACAGCTTAAGAACGTGAGGTGATTATAAATACAAGTGAAGTAGATTTAATTGATTTTTGTTGTCTGTAGTGAGAAATGTGGACATATCATAACAGCAATCAATTAAATAGATATTGTTAAAAAAAATCAGTGTCACTGCAGTATGAGTAACAGAGATGCAGGCTGAAAGTTTTTTTTTTTTTAAAACCCACCTGTTTGTGGGTTTGTATAACAGATACCTTAAACTCATTCCCTTTGAAGATTTAAATGTTTATTCAGCTTTATATGGATATACTGAGATGCTTTGGTGCAGCTGGCATTGTAGAATCAGGACTTTATTGAAGTTGGAAGTAACACTGTAAAATCTTCTAGCTGGGATTTAAAAACCAGAGCTCATCAATCTGCATAGTTTGTTTTAATCTTGATGCTACTGTAAATAGTCTACTGATGTCCTGGTATAACAAGGGAGTTGCATGCTCTTAATGAAAATAAAGAGCTAGTAAAGTAGAACAGTTCTGTTCGCTCGTATGTAGATCCCAGCATTGAACCATTGAATGATTTTGATTGGAAAGGACCTTAAGATCAACTAGTTCCAGCCCATCTGCCACGGGCAGGGACACCTACTAGATGAGGTTGCTCAAAGCCCTGTCCAACCCGGCCTTGAAACACTGCCAGGGATGGAACATTTAGCACTTGTTTGGGCAACCTGTTCCAGTGTCTCACTACCCTCACAGTAAAGAACTTCTTCCTTATATCTAACCTGAACTTCCCCTGTTTAACTTTTAACCCATTACCCCTTGTCCTATCACTGCAGTCCCTGATGAGGAGACCCTCTTGAGCATCCTTGTTGGCCCCCTTCAGATACTGGAAGGCTGCTGTGAGGTCTCCACACAGCCTTCTCTTCTCCAAGCTGAACAGCCACAATTTTCTCAGCCTTTGTATGGGAGGTACTCCAGTCCCTTGATCATCCTTGTGGCCTCCTCTGGACTTGCTCCAACAGCACCATGTCCTTTTTATGTTGAGGACACCAGAACTGTATGCAGTACTCCAAATGGGGTCTCGGCAGAGTAGAGGGGCAGGATCACCTCCTTTGACCTGCTGGTCACGTTCCTTTTGATGCAGCTCAGGATACAGTTGGCTTTCTGGGCTGTGCGCACACACTGAAGCAGGCTCATGTTCAGTTTCTCATTGACCAACACTCCCAAGTCCTTCTCCACAGGGCTGCTCTGAATCTCTTCTCTGCCCAACCTGTAGATGTGCCTGGGATTTCCCTGATGCAGGTGTAGGACCTTGCACTTGGCATGGTTAAACTTCCTGAGGCTGGCATCAGCCCACCTCACAAGAGTGTCAAGGTCCCTCTGGATGGCATTCCTTCCCTCCAGCGTATCAACCGAACCACACAGCTTGGTATCATTGGCAAACTTGCTGAGGGTGCACTCAATCCCACTGTCCATGTGACA